TGATCAAGGTCCCTCAGACTAAGTTATGACATAGGACTGGAGAGTTGATATAGCTCTGAGGTAGGACAGTGACGGTGTATTGCTTGCCTTGCCAGCTGAAGGCAGACTGCTTCTGGTGTTCCTTCGAGACTGGATTCAAGAAAAAGGCTTTGGCCAGATCAATAACTGCATACCAGGTACCAGGAGATGTATTTATTTGTTCAAGCAATGAAACCCATCTAGAATAGCAGCTGCAATTGGAGTCACTACCTGGTTAAATTTAAATTCTCCAAGATCTATCTGCTTTCTTACAGGCCAAATAGGTGAGTTGAATGGGGATGTGGTGGAAATCACCACCCCTGTATCTTTAAGTACTTGATGATGGCAGTAATCCCTGCAGTCCCTGCTTGAATGCAGTTACGATTTTGGTTTACTCTTTTCCTAGGTAGGGGCAGTTCTAATGGCTTCCACTTGGCTTTTCCTACCATATTAGCCCTTTCTCTGCTTGTCATGGATCCAGTGTTGGGGTTCTGTGGGTTGCTGAGTATATCTGTTCCAATTATGCATTCTGGAACTGGGGAGATAACGACAGGGTGGATTTGGGGACCCACTGTGAGACCAACCTGGGCTATGACTCCTTTGAATTATGGTGTTAGCGAAGAGTATTGAATAGACCGTAGACTACCAGAAGAATGAACAAATCTGTCGTGGAAGAAATACAGCCAGAGTGCTCTTCGGAAGCAAGTATGGCAAGACTTTGTCTCTTGTACTTTGGACATGTTATAAGGAAGGACCAGTCCCTGGAGAAGGGCATCACACTGGTAAAGTAGAGGGTCAGCATTGGCATTTGGAGGAAGACCCTTCTTCACCATGAACTGCTGTCCTGTGCATTGTAGGATGTTCAACAAGATGGATTGACAGAGTGGCTACAACAGTAGGCTCAAATATAACAGCGATTGTGAGGATGATGCAGGAGCGGGTAGTGTTTCGCTCTGTTGTACATACGGTCGCTATGAGTTGGAACTGACTTGATGGCACCTAACAACAACAACATGTATATGTATACCTATGTGTATATATATATATATATATATACATATATATATATATATAGAAAGAGAGAGAGAGAGAGATTTATCTCAAGGAAATGGTTCACATGTTGGTAGAGGCTGGCAAGTCCCAAGTCCGTCATCAGGTGTCAGGCTGGAGACTTCTCCTGCAGGGGCTGACTAACCCAAGATAAGCAGGTCAAATGGCAGGCTGCTAGCTCACGGACTGCGTAGGCTGACGATCCTGAGATTGGCAGGCTGCTGGCTCACGCTTCAAGAACCAGAAATCAGATGGTGACGTGCCAGGTGCAGGATCCAGAGCAAGCAAGTAAGCTTTGCCAGAAAGTCCATATATATATATTGGATGCAGGCCACACCCCCAAAGAAACTCCCCTTTCAACTGACTGGCTGATCACATCAGATCACGTCATGGTGAATTGACTACACCATTATATAACTGCCAAATTACTTCATAACGTAACTGCCGAACTACAACATTATATAATAGCCCAACCTTTGAGAATCACGGCCCATCCAAATTGACACATAACCTTAACTATCACAATAGGTAGAACCAACAGATGCCCATTCCTAAATGGTCAGATTAAATTAGTGTTTCTTACCAGTGGCATCACTGGAAAAGGAGCCCTGGTGGTACAGTGGTTAAGTGCTTGGTTGCTAACCAAAAGGTCAGCGGTTTGAACCCACAAGCCGCTTTGCAGGAGAAAGATGTGGCAATCTGCTTTCATGAAGATTTACAGCCTTGGAATCCCTATGGGACAGTTCTATTCTGTAGGGTGGCTATGAGTCAAAATTCAACTTGATGACAAAGGGTTTGGTTTGTTGTTTTTTTTTTTGACATCATTGGCATTTGGAGCAAGACCCTTCTTCACTGTGAACTGCTGTCCTGTGCATTGTAGGATGTTCAGCATCTCACTGACACTGCTTGTGTCACAATCTAGACACCACTGGTTTCTGCACACTGAAGACCGCTGGACTGTCTTTTCCATAGAGCTCTATCCATTTGCAACAATCAGATGCATTTCCATTGCTAAGCAAAAGATTGTTTATAATTTTGTTATCATATAATAATGTTTTTTATTTCTTTTATGAAAATATTCTTGAATTTATGGTTCCCAAATATCTAAACTGCCCTGCATGTAGGGATATATAAGAAATTAATCGACAAGATTTCTTCAGTTTCTTTGTTTAAGGGCACAGACTTTAGAGCCAGACTCTCTAGATTCAAAGCACACAATCCTACCTCTCCTGTCTACTAGCACTTAGTTTCCTGACCTTGGGTGATTACATAATCTCTCTATACTTCAACTTTTTAATCTATAAAATGGGGATAATCATAGTGCCCATTTCATACAGTTGCTGTGAGGATTAAATGAGTCAATGTGCAGAAAACACTTACTATATTGTCAGGAACCTAGTAAGCATCTGTATGTTTAAGCTTTTATTATTATTACTGTTATATAAAATGGGGTAGTAATACTTAAATTTCACATAAATAACATCATGATACCTTTTATGTTTTCTTTTTTTTTGGGAGGGATTACCTTTTCAAATTTAAATTGCTTTATCTGGTAAATCATTTTATGGCATTTAGCCTAGACCTGTACTTTGAAAAATTCCAGTGAATTATTAATTTTTGCATTCAGTGTTTATTGAGTGTTTGCCAGGCATGTGCTAAGTTCTATGAAGACAGGGAATTTACATTCCAGTAAAAGAAGCCATAACTAAGTGAGCAAACAAATGGTAGAATTCTCGCTTTGCATGTGGGAGACCTAGGTTTGATTCCCAGCCAATGCACCTAATGCACAGCTACCGCCCGTCTGTCAGTGGAGGTTGTGTGTTCTGTGATGCTGGATAGGTTTCAGTGGAGCTTCCAGACTAAGAAGAAGGACCTGGTGATCGACTTCCAAAAATCAGCCAGTGGCAACCCTATGGATCACAGTGGTCTGATCTGCAGCCAGTCATGAGAATGGCACAGGATCAAGCAATGCTTTGTTCTGTTGTGCATGGGGTCGCCATGAGTCAGAGGTCAACTCAATGGCAGCTAACAACAACAACAGTTACTGATATAAGAGCTGTGAAGGAATCAGCGGAAATGCCTGGAAGCAGGAAGGGTTTGGTGTGTTCATGGGACACACTGGATTGTGGTGACCCGGGAGGGAGGAAATGAAATGAGGTTGGAGGGTGTGCTGGAGCCTTACAGACTCCAGTGAGGAGCTTGGATTTTATTCTACAGGGAGTTTGGGTATCTCTCCAAGGAAGCTACCGAAAGGATATTTTAAGCAGGAGAGTGCTGTGGAATGAACTGGAAGGGGACAGGCCAGACCCGTTAGAGGACTAGTGTGACACTCCAGGGTAGTGATGGAGGGGATGGAGTGGTGGCGGCAGTTCAGGTGGGAAGTGAACGTAATCAAATCAAATTATATATATTTTGGGAGTAGAACTGACAGGTATTGGTGATGGCTTGGATGAAGGGGATGATGAGAGAAAGGGAGGAATTGGGAACAACCCTAGATTTTTGGCTGTTATGTGCTGTCCTGACTGCATACATGTATTGCCTTTATTATTAACCTCCTTTTTTTGAACGTGGTCCTTTTCAAAACTATAAATTACTAAGTCTCATTTTAAATCTTTGATCTTCCTGGTCTAGATGTTTGTGCTGCAGCCAAATTGTATAATCTGTTTAAATTTCTTCCTCCTTTCCTGTTTAGTAATAGGAACCCCATTTGCTGATTTTTTTGCGTACTTAATTGGTAGCATTTTATCTTGTTGATTATTGCTGCTGAAGATGTAAACTTGACTTTGTTTACCACTTGTAGTCTTTTGAGATTAGGTAGCTTAGAGTCATCCCTTCCCCAGGAAAAGTTGCATCTATAAAAGCCTGCACCTGTTTGAGAAGCAGCCCGCCCTTCTCTGCCTTGTGTGCTTCGGACTGGGGAGGGTAACCATGAGCAACGGGAGGGCTGGGAAGCACCTGGAGTTTATTTCTATAACTACAAATGGTTAACGTGTTTGGCTACTAACTGAAAGATTGTAGGTTGCAGTCCACCCAGAGGCGCCTCAGAAGACAGCCTTGATGATCTACTTCCAAAAAATCAGCCATTGCAAACCCTGTGGAGCGCAGTTCTACTCTGACACACATGGGGTCATCCTGAGTTGGAATTGACTTCATGGCAGCTAGTACTGTTACCTGAGGCACAGACTCGCCCTGTAACTCTGTTATTCTTATTAATGTGATTTCAGGTGTAGTAAGTCAAGTTTAGGAGTTATTATTTTCCATCACTTAGGACTGTGTACATGTCATCAATCATTGCAGTTTATCATAATTTACTAAAATATGCTTTTGTCTTGTGAATGAACTGAGATCAACCATATAAAGGGGAGTCTAATTAAATTAGGCAGATTGTTTAAATCGATGCATGTGGAATGAATTATTTTACTTTTTTTCCTAAGAAATAAAGAGAAACTGGGAAGAAAATTCATTAGACAGTAATGTGCAGAGATTTTTTTTACACCTAAATGAGAAGCATATAAAACATAAGAACTTCAAAAACATTTCTTAGGCACAGACTATTATTAAACACCCATGGATGTTTTTGATTTCCCATTCCATTAAAATGCTCAAATTAACTTCATATTTAGAACATTTAAAAATAGATCTGTCTTAAAAAGAAGATATAAAGTATTATCAGCTGTGCTTTTTGTACATAATTAGCATGTGCCTGTGGAGGTATAATGACTTTTAGTCTAATATTACTCATGATAAAAAAGTTCAGATGGTAAAAATCAGAGCTACAGCTGGGTGACATGTTTCAAAATAATTCAGTGATGACTCCAGCACAGAAGGCATGCTATAGTCACTTGTAATCCCCGTTTCACTCATCAGTAGATCATGAAGGTACTGATAAAAGATCGTTTTAAAAATGCTTCATTGTTTTTTCTTTATTGTAGATTTGATGTATGCACACAGTTTCCTCCAGTGTATGCAGGCCAGTGTAAAGGTACTCCACCTTCTCCCTTCTTCTGCAATGGCTCAAGATTTGGTAGACCTTTCTTCTGAGTATCAGTTTTGGTTGCGGAAGCTTTCCATATGGGACCAGGCCTCGACTTTGGAAACCCAGCAAGATACCTGTGTTCACCTGCCTCAGTTCCAGGCATTCCTGAGCCAGATGTATGAAGCTTTGAAAGAGATGGTAAATAGTGGACCAAAAGATTTTAATTATTTTGTGCCATCAAGGATTCTTCTCTCAGATTTCCCCAAGCCAGGATACTGCTATCCATGGTCAGGGACTTGTGTTGACCTGATGGATTGCTGGCAGAGAAAGACAAACTGAGGGCTGAGTTGTAGGTAACGCAGACAAGAATTAGTTTCCTGAGTCTATGATTTATTATGGCATTGGTGTTTTCTTCCTGATTAATTATAATGTCATATGAGATGTTCTGACCAATCAAATTGTTTTTAAATAATCAATATTGTGATGCTCGCTGTCAGGTAGTAAATGAGATTCTTTTAAAGACCTTGAAGAGTTTGCTGACATGCATGCCCTTTCCCCAACCCTGTCCAAAGTGGGCTGTACTAAGAGATAAGTATTAAAATCTCTTCTTATAAATATTTTAAGTCTCTTCTGATAAATATTGATTTTGAGTGTCTTCAGTATTTTTATATGATTTTTTTGTTTTCAAAATTTGATGTATTTTCATTTGACATAAAATTTCTTCTTGGTTTTATTGTAACTGCGGTAGGTATTTTTATTAACATATGATTTTTATTATGAAGATATTATTTTTTAAGTTCAAAGTGAAAAGTAAAGCTGTCATTTAATGTAGGTATTCTTATGCTTTTCTTCCCTTAGTCAAAGAAGCAAGTAAGAAATTTGAAGAATAATTCATGTTGATAATAAGTACACATGTCTTAGGAAGTGGAAGGAAAGATACAGTCTGTGTGAACAACCAATGCTGATTTTTTTTTTAACTGTTTTATTTTTTCCCATACAAAAATTTATACATACATTGTTATGTGACTCTAATTGCTCTTCCCATACTGTGACAGAACACTCCTCCTTACCACCCCCCTGATTCCCCATGTCCATTCAACTAGCTCCTAACCCTTTCTGCCTTCCCATCTCACCTCCGGACAGAAGCTGCCCATTTAGTCTCTTTTATCTACTAGAACTAAGAAGCACACTCCTTACGAGTATCACTTTATGTCCCACAGTCCAGTCTAATCCCTGTCTGAAGAGTTGGCCTCGGAAATTGTTTTAGTTCTGGGCTGATAGAGAATCCAGGGGCCATGCTTTCTGGGGATCCTCCAGTCTCAGTCAGACCTACTAGAATTTGAGTTCTGCACCCATCTTTCTCCTGCTCCATCAGGGACTATCTGTTGTGTTCCCTGTCAGGACGGTCATTAGTGGTAGCCGAGCACCATCCAGTTCTTCTGGTCTCAGGCTGATGAAGTCTCTGGTTTATGTGGCCGTTTCTGTCTCTTGGGCTACTACTTTCCTTGTGTCTTTGGTGTTCTTCATTCTCCTTTACTCCAGGGACCAGTTGATGGATCTTAGATGGCTGCTTGCAAGCTTTTAAGACCCCAGACGCCACTCACCAAAGTAGAATGCAGAACATTTTCTTAATAAGCTTTGTTATGCCAATTGACCTAGATGTCCCCTGAAACCACGGTGCCCAGACCACCAGCCTTGCTTCTCTGTCACTCGAAGTGTTTGATTGTATTCAGGAAACTTCTTAGCTTTGGTTTAGTCCAGTTGTGCTGGCTTCCCCTGTAGTGAGTGTTGTCCTTCCCTTCACCTATAATTCTTGTCTACTATCTAGTTAGTGAATAAGCCTCACCCTCCCTCCCCACCCTTGTAACCATCAGAGAATGTTTTCTTCTGTGTTTAAAC